CACTCTACCACTTGAGCTACAGCGCCATTTCTGGTTTTCTGGTGGTTTATTGGAGATCGGAGTCTCACAGTCTTTCCTGCCCGGGCTGGCTTTGAACCGTGATCCTCAGATCTCAGCCTCCTGAGTAGCTAGGATTACAGGCATGAGCCACCAGCGCCCGGCTTGACTTCTTTTTTTTTTAAACAAAAGAAAAAAGGAATGAAAGGATATATAAAACAGAAGTAGATTAAAGCATTTAGAATACAGTACAGAAAAATGAATTGGGCTCAAATTTTGGCTAGGGCCTAACCGTATGTCTTTTTTTTCCCCTTTTAAATGGATGTATGTAATGGGGAAATGGAAAATAGGATATGAGGAAGTGAACTGACTACATAACAGGAAGGTTTATTTTGAAATACTGCTGCATTAAAAGAAGGATAAAAATTATTCTTGAGCAATGGTTTATAGTACATAACAGCAATGAATTTGCAGTTAAAGAAACAATTGATACATAGAGTTAAGGCAATTTGTATTCAGCTGCCTCAGATGACTGATATTAAAATAGAAACACGTCCTGGAGCAAAGTAATGTTTAATGTTTTCATTGTTGTTTCTTTTGTGATACTGGGAACTGAACCCAGGGCTTGCTAAGCCTGTATTCTATCACTTGAGTCACACCTGAACATCTTAATCTTTTAACTCTTGAGAAATGTTCATGTAATATAAGCATAGGCTATATTTACTTACCATTAAGTAAACAAAATCTGATGCTTCATAAAAGATTTAGAAATTTGAAGAGTAATTTGGTGGTATAATATCTATCTTCTTTAAAGGGAATAGGCTAAATGCGATTTTGCTGGTGTTCAGAAGCTGGAACCTCTTAGTGATAGTTTTAACAAAATGTTGTTCATCTGCTCTGTCCAATATATATGGTAATCTTTATATGTAACTATATATCTAGTGTGACTAAAGAATTGAATTTTAAAATAAATTAATTTTAATTAATTAGATTTAAATACAAAGAGCAACATGTAACATGTAGACAATGTATGTCACCAGCATTGGACAGCTCTAAATGTTAAATGCTTAGTGTATTTTTGCTCAAGAAGGTTTAGGCTTGTTTAAGGATACAAGTGGACCTGTTGCAACAATGAGAAGTACAAGTTGTCATGTCCAAAACGAGCTTTACAACGTGGGTGCGGGATTGGGATTGGGGGGGAGGGGGGAGGCTGGGAACGGATGTGAAGGGTAAACAAAGGAGGAGGCTGCAATGCTTGGTAAGAAATGTATGCATTATCCTGCCCATGTAATTGTAACCCCTCTGTACAGTATGTTCACAAATTAAATTAAATTAAATTAAAAAAAGAAAGAAGGTTTAGGCTTATAACAAAATCAGATAAATTCATGACTGGATTAATCTTGATTTTATTAGAATACTTCAGAACTGATTTCTCATAGCCTAAGTTTTTGAGACTTGATTTGAACTCATCTTTGGATTCTGGTCATAGCTTCTCACACTGTGATTTTGACATGATTCCATTAGTAAGCCTCTCATACTCTGAATGTATTCCTAAAACCAAACTTCTTATCCCTCCAGATGCTTTTTCATTGTTGTATCAGATAACTTGTTCTGCTTTTATTTCCTAGTACAATATTATTGTTCTATGGTTTAATGGTTGCTTATAAAATGGATTTACCTAGAAAACTTGTTATCTTTGTATCCTATACCTGATTCTACAGATATCAATTGTCATGTGTATTTCTGAAATAACTTGCCCTCTCTATTTCTTCTCCTTTGTCATTTTGTCTACATTATTTCATACTTTAATTACAGTACTTAGGCTATTAAGTCAGTATCTATTGGACTTCCAATTTCACCACTATGTCCATTCTCTGATTACTACTAGCAGTCTTCCTTAAAGAAAACTTTAATTTTATGATTTTTCTACTTATTAAATTTTTGGACCCATTATCAGTGCTTATTGAATAATAAGCCTGGAACTTGAAATACAGTTAAAACCTCATGACAAAACTATATCCTAACTTAGAAAGCAAATAAATCAACAGAGTTGAGTAGTCTTAAAGAATGAGAGTAGTATGAGGCTCTGGGTTTGATCAGTTAAATAAAAATCAGTTAAATAAAAAATGAGAGTGGAAGAATAATTTTGGAGAAAAAAATCCATGGGCTGGGCAGCAGTGGCTCATGCATGTAATCCTAGCTACTCTGGAGACTGAGCTCTGAGGATTGTGGTTAGAAGCCAGCTTGGATAGGAAAGTCTGTGAGACTCTTTTCTCAATTAACCACCAAAAATCCAGAAATGGAACTATGGCTCAAGTGGTAGACCTCTAACTAAAAAAAAGTGCTCAAGTCCTGAGTTCAAGCTCCTATACATACCAGCAGCTGCACACTCCCCAATCCCTTGCAAATAGCCATATGAGGCTGTTTTAGACTTCCTTTAAGTTTTGTAATAATTTTGTTTACAGTTGAACTTACTTGAAAATTAGGTTTGATTTTATTTTAAAATTAATTGAACTGCAAGCAAATGGTACCACCTCTTAAGGGTAATCTTCTTCCCTTATTTTCCAAGGTAAGATAATCTTCCTTGAGTAAATGGAGTATGAAAGTATAGGACACACAGAAGGAAGTGGGGAAGGGCTAATTGAGAACTAAGCAAAGAAATGTTGAATGAAACTAGATACAGAATCTAGATTTGTCCTTGAACCTATAACAGAATGCCCTCGTAGAAGAAAACAGGCCCATGAATATCCAAAAAAGGAAGGTAATATTCATGGTATGTTTCATATACACATGCCTCGAGTCCAAAACTTTTGTACAAATTATTAATGCATTTACTTTGTAACATATAGCAAATTGTCGTACTGATCATACTATTGTACTATGATTATATGTCTATATGTAATTTCTTTATAAAAGCCCTCAACTCTATATTAAGTATAATGGTAATCAATATTTGTGAGGAAACAGGAAAAGAAAATGATGAAAAACCACTTATGGCATTTCTCATTAATCAGCCACACTTGCCTTATATAAGAACTTAATTGAATATGAAATTCTTTGGCCTTATCCTAGACACTGAATCAGAATCCCTGAAGATGGAATGAGTAATCTGTGTTTAAAGATGACTTCCATGTGTTAATAGAAACTTGCATTAGGCCAGGGAACCAGAAAAATGAAACCTGTGGTCCTCTGGTCCATAAGCTATGTTTTTGTTTTTGTTTAGTACCAGAGTTTGAACTTAAGGTATATGCTTGCTATGCAAGTGCTTTACCACTTGAAGCATGCTCCTAGCCCTTTTATAGAAACACAGCTATAACAATTTGTTTGTTATTGTTATGAATGCTTTTGTATTACTGTGACAGAGTCAACATCTGTTACAATAGAGCTGTTACGGACTGCTTCAGAGTCTAAAGTCTTTATTAACTTTGCTGATTATTACTTTAGCATGAAGAAGCAGATATTTGCTAATTGAAATGAAGATAAAAAGGAAATAAAACTTTTTTTGTAATTTAGAAGTTCTTAACTTGTTACCTTTCCTTTTCAGTCAAGGATGCTATCTGAATGGGCCTTTTAGTTCCAGTTTCTTGACAGTGCCAAAGCAAAGGTCATCTTCTATATCACTGTCTCACCATGTAGGTCTGAGAAGAGCTGGTAAGAAATTCTTTTTTAAATTATATGTATATTGTTAAGAGACAAGATCTTAATGATTTGTCCATACTGGATCTAAAGGATCTTTCTGTATCAGCCTCTCGAGTAGCTAACTGGTACTACAGATACATACCATCTTGCCTGCCTTAGAAAGACTTCTTTCAAAGATTATGGTAGTACAATTTTTGCAAATATCTAAGTTTGAATACTACATATTATATTTAAATTAACATGACTAAATCTATTTTGATTGGCTATTCTTTGACCATTAATTTACTTAATAAACACATTTACTGTGTATGAGGCATTTTGGTAGGTATTAGGATTTCAAAGAGAAAATATAGAATTATATTACTAGCTTAAATATTTGCAAATCTAGAATAAGGGAAAAATCTTGAAGAAAGGTTTTTTTTTTTTTAAAGTGGTAATTCTGCAGCAAAAACAAGAGTATGTCAAAAGACATTGGCTACATCTTAGCATCCTAATTGGATTATAAAATATAATAAATTAAGATTAGAGAATGCTTTAAAACTTCTTAGGTGAAAGATATTTTCCAAATATAACAGTAATGACAGAGAATATTGATATTCCCAGTCAGGTAATGACTGAAACATATAACCAATATATCTTTTGTGGGAGTTCTGAGGTTTGAGCTCAGGGCCTTGTGTTTGCTAGGCAAGTGGTTTAGTATTTGAGATACACTTATTTTGTTTGGGTTGACCTTGAACAGAAGATCCTTCTACTTATGACCTCTCATGTAGCTGCAGCTTCTAGATTGTTTTCATTGAAATTGATCTTGCTAATTTTTTGCCTGGTCTGGAACTGGTCTTCCTAATGTCTGCCTTTCAAGTAGTTAGGATTATAGATGTGAACTTTGCTTGGTCCCCTAAATACTTTTTTTTTTTTTTGGTCAGTCGTAGGACTTGAACTCTGGGCTTGGGCGCTGTCCCTGCACTGTTCAGCTCAAGGCGAGTGCTCTACCCCTTGAGCCTCAGCACCACTTCCAGTTTTCTAGCGGTTTATTGGAGATAAGAGTCTCAAGGACTTTCCTGCCTGGGCTGGCTTTGAACCACTCCTCAGATATCAGCCTCCTGAGTAGCTAGGATTACAGGAGTGAGCCACAAGTGTCTGGCTCCCTAAATACTTTTATATACATACTATATATATACATATATACTTATATATATATTTCATATATAAAATATGAAATGTGAAGAAATAATAATGTATTATTGATGATCAAGCACTAAAGGAAACTTATATATGACATTTGTTCTGATTTGGCAGTATTTTAAAACAACAATGATTTCTTAAAGAAAATAAGAAATGGGCAAAATGTATATATTTTGACTAGAGAAAAAATGGGCAGCTAGAAGTGAGAAAGTGTTTGATTAAATCAAAATCTTGTTTTGGGTTAGGAGTAGATTGAATGCAACAGCAAACAACATTGAACACTAAGATAAATAAAAAAACAGAAACAAACAAAAAAGAGGGAAAATTTTGCAATTAACATATGTCATATGTAAGAGACATATGACATGCTCCCAAAGTTCTACTGTATATGTGAAAAAGTTACAAAGGAGAAAGATAATCAGAGGGAACAGTTTTTCAAAATGAAAAAAAAAGAAAACATCAGATTCATAAAGCTTTGTGAACTCTAAGCAAACTAAATGCAGAGGAAAAAATCACAGACAAAGCAATCAAATCTCTGGATTATGAAGATAAAGAGAAAAGTCTCAAAAGTGACCAGAAAAAATTCAGATTACGTTCCAAGAATAATGTTGATAATGACTTTTTAACAGAAACTGTGGAAACCAAAGACAATAGAATATCGTTTTTAAAACATTGAAAAAGAAAAATTATTACCTACAGTTCTCTGTCTAATGAAACAACTTGAAAGATTAAAGTGATGTACAAACTTTTATTCACTGATTTCAACAAACACAAATACACATAAGGGAATACACTAATTAATTTCATTGTGATAACTATTTCACATGTATAGTGTATGTAAATCAGCATTTGGGTTGTATATTTTAAAAGTATACAATTTGTATTTATGTTTTACATTATGAAATTTAACCTGCTTTATTCAGTCTACTAGTTTACATGTTTATTGTATCTAGAAGAAATATTAATAGTAACATCTAGTGTTTTGATTGAATAACCAGGCACTCATAACCTAGCCAAGGTGATAGCATCACACCTATCTAAGGTGATAGCATCACACCTATCTATGTATGTTTTATGCCTTTAACATTGTAGGTCTTTATTGTTATTTCTTTCCTCTGAATTACATTTTACTTGGATTTGTATTTCAACTAAAGTCTTCCACCTTCCTATATTTCTCTGGTAAGGCTACATTGCTTTAGTTAAGGTAGTCACCAACCAACAGGATTGAAGCGACATCTTTAGTGTTTGGGTTTTTGTTGTTGTTGTTGTTTTGTTTTTTAGTACTCTTTATTTTAGCATTTAATACTAGTTTGCTTTTCTGCTATATTCTAGGTTTCTTGAGTTTCAGGGATGGTATTTTCCCCTACATTGTAAAGCCGTAGACATTTTCAATATATATACTAGGTTGCCAAATATTTGTTAAATGGATGGATGAGCTGAAAATATTTAGTATATTTTAAAGAGGGACATGCTATTGTATTAGTGGATAACCTTATTACATCCTCAACTTATGTTTTGTTGTTAAGAACATTAGTTCTTAAATAAATTGGAAGTTATATAAATGAGTAAAATAGAGTAAAATATAATGTTATGGAATAAAAATTCAGTAAAAACTGAGACCCTGTTCATGTAGATAATCACTGTGGTATCTTTTTACAAACTGTGAAAGGTAAAGAACATGGATTAGTTGAATGGGGTGAGATTGATCAAGATATGTTTTATTCATAAACTAGTTTGTTAAATGGCAATTCCTTTGTACTACTATTTAAATATAATTAAAACGAATATGCATTAGGAAAATTTATCCTACGCAATATAATTAAAGTCACACTCTCAATATATGCTATTTTTTATATAGTATTCTGTCAAAGGCTGTTTACTCAATAGTGACTGATGATGACAGATATAACAATTACTAAATTCCTAGAATGTCTTGTGACCCCCTTCAAAATTTTAACTTTTTAATTACAAATGCTTTTTATGGAGAAGGAAAATGCTTATTTGTTAACATATATTTCTTTCTTTTAAATTTTTAAGGTGCTTTGCCCAGCTTGAGTCCTATGAATTCTCCTAGCTATGGTCCAGTGTCTTCTGGCTCTCTAACTAATCGATCACCCATAGAATTTCCTGATACAGCTGATTTCCTTTCTAAGCCAAGTGTTGTTTTACATAGATCTCTGGGTAATGTACCCAGTACACCAGATTTTAATCAGTACTGTAGAAATTCTGATAGCAATCTGTGTAACAGGTAAGTTTCTTAACTTTTTTTTTAAGTTTCTTAACTTTATATTAATAGTGTTATCAATTTTCTACTTGTATCAAAAACTAGATGATAAATTAATCCTATCCTCTTTAGTAGTTTTTATTCAAAATAAATGTTTTCCCATTTCAGTGCTACTGCTAATTTTCTAATTAAATATCTCCATTGAAGTTACTTATGAATAATAGTAATTTTAACATGCATAACATTAGTGCCTGTTTGTAGTATCCAGTGTTAATTCTCATTTCTGCTTTGATAGGAATATGTATTTTACCTCAGATTCCAGTGGTGACTTTCAAAAATATTTTATTTCCTTCAAGAACAGAAAGTTTCTAATATGTAAAGATTTTTTGGGGGAGGGTATCAGTTTTAGAGTTTGAAGAGGGCCTGGCCTGGGCACTATCCCTGAGCCTAGTGCTCTATCACCTGAGCCACAGCTCTGCTTCTGGCCTTTTTTGTTTGGTTAGTTGGAGAAGAGAGTCCTACAGATTTTCCTGCCCAGGCTGGCTTTGAAATGCAATCCTCAGATCTCAACCTCCTGGGTAGCTAGTATTACAGAGGTGAGCCACAGCACTGGACTCCACCTAAAGACTTATATTTACCATAGATTGGAATATTAGGATGTATTGTATTTGGAGTCTTAGTTAAAAATTAAACAGATTTTGTAATCATATTTAGGTTAAGAGCTTTTAAGCCTCACAATATAAATATATTTATCTATTGTATTCTATAAGCTGCGGACATCAAATACTAAAATATGTTTCAACATGTGAATTGGATGGTACAGACCACTACAGTGGAAAATCAGGTAAGATTTGAGTGTGCATTTGAGTTTAAGAGTAATTTCTTATGGTATTTGTTCTGAATGTATGAATAAATAAGTTTAACTTCCATTTATCCATCTGTAAGTTTTTATGTTTTGTTTTTTGCAGTGCCTGGAACCTAAATAAAGAACTTGTATAGTCTAGGCAAGAGCATAACTGCTGAGCTAAATCCTTAATTCTCATTTATTCATCTTTAAAGTGAAGATAATGATTTTAAAGAAGAATTATTAAGAACAAATTACAACAAAAAGAAAGAATAATTTTAAAAGAACAAATTATAAATAGTTGATGATGAAAGTACTTTGAAGATTAAAAAATATGCAGATAAATATTCTTTGGTTTTGGCTAGTTTTGATAGATAGTAAGACTTGTACTAAACACAGCCTAAGCTCCAAAGTGTTAGCATGCTGTCATACAGTGTAATTATGCATGTCATAGAAAAGTATAGTTAATTATATCATTCTGAAACATGTTTTATCGTTAAACAAAAATATTGTTGTTGATAGAACAATTGTTTATAACTAAAAATTAATGATCTTAAAGGACTTAATTTGTTTATTATTCTATGGGTTTAGAAAACATTTTTTGTTTAAGGTAATATAAACAGAATAAATAGGACTATTTTTAAACATGTGACTAAGTATTATTTGGTTTGTACTCCACTTTTCCATGTGAGTTGAGAAAGAATATTATTAATTACATGGTCGGAGAAATATCTCAAAATTCATGATATTTTGCTTTAAAATTTACAATGGCCTAGTTGTATTCACTTATAATTATGAATGTTGATATCAAATTGGAAAGAAAGTTTGTGCTGCTAGGGATTGGCTTTTTCTATTTCCCACTTGTATAAAGAATACCCATCCTTTTCTTTCATCCTTGAGTAGATATATAATGTACTTAACATGTGAAATATTTGAGTTACCTAAGCACAAGGCACTTGTGCAGAATAGTCTGACTAGATACAACTCAATGGTATACAACTCAATGGTATACTTTAAGCAGAATTCTATTATGGTTCACTCTGGGTATTTTAAAGCAATAACCATTTTTCTTGCAAAGCTGTACGTTTATGGCAACCATATTTTTCTTTATTGCTATATGTGCTTTTTGAAAGGTGCAGAAGACAACCGTGTTTTTTTGAAAGAACCATTCAACCTTACGGAAATTCAGCAGGAAGAGGAAACAGAGAAGAGCGATTGCAGAAAATTATTTTTGGAAGGTGATAATTGCCTAACGGAAGAGGCACAGCAACCAAATGTAAAAGATAAATTCAATATGATTATGTTAAAGTATAAAATGTAGTTTTACTCAGAATGAAATTAATTAATGTAATGATACTTTCATTTACTTATTTTTATTGAGAAGTTACAATAACTGAAATAGTGCTTTGGCTACACAGAATAAATAGTTAATATATATAGTTAATAGTTATATATATAATATATATAGTTAATAATAGTTAAATAAATAAACCTATCATCAGAAAGCAATAAGCTGCATTTATTTTATTTTTTTATTTTATATTTTTTTGGGGTCCGGTCGTGGGGTCTGAACTCTGGGCCTGGGTGCTGTCCCTCAGCTCTTCAGCTCAAGGCTAGTGCTCTACCACTTGAGCCACAGTGCCACTTCCATCTTTTTTTTTTTGCTTATGTGGTGCTGGGAATTGAACCCAGGGCCTCATGCATGCAAGGCAAGCGCTCTACCACTGAGCCACCTTCCCATCCCTGCATTTATTTTAAAATGAATACATTTATTTAATTTTATAGTAGATATAGGTTAGTCTATTTCTTTGATGTATATTTTAAAATATAGAGAGAAGTTGTGTAATCATTTAAAAACACAAAGAGAACAATATACCTAGAAAAGCTGTGTTTTTCTTGAAGTTCAAAATGTGAGCTTTTAGGAAACAATCTTATCCATTATTTGGGGAGTCTGTCTTAGTAATAATTGTCAAATACTGAAATGAGTATCTCTCCCCGCCCCCCCCCCCCCCCCTTTTTTTTTTTTTTTTTAATGCAGACACTGTGGCTTGAACTCAGAACCTGGGCATTGTCTCTTAGTTTTTCCACTCAAGGCTGATTCTCGACCACTT